CCCCAAAACCCCAAAACCCCAAAACCCCGAAATTGATAATAACTGAAAAAATAATTGGAGGAAAAATATAAAAATTTCAATTATAATGAATCGAAATAATACAGCTCTTTCTTATATGACTTCTCCAAGTAAAATAAGTCAATTCTAAATATAAATAACGAATTATCAATCGAATCCAAATCTTCGCAGTTAGTCCTCCTCCTTCGCATATGATAGGTCACCTCAATCTAATATGACTAGATAAACATTCCACTAATAATAATAACAATAGCAATAGTAACATTAGTATCACTATATGAACTCTACTCAGCAGATCGTTAGTAATTCAATGGCTTAAAATATATAAAATCAAGTTGCCAGTGAAAGAAATCCACTTTTAAGCTTCACTGAAGAAATAGATTAGCTACAATAATCAATTGCACCTCTTGTCCATGAATGTATTACTGAGAGAAAACTCAAGGAGTGTATACAGTTTAAATTTGATCAGTTATATCAAGAATATAACGAGATAACAAAACGTCTTTTAGACAATCTCATAGCAAAGGACACACTCATCTAATCTTAATCATTAAGGATAGACAACTAGGATTTCTAGATACTTAAGCTTCAGGATTAAGTCTAGGTAAAGGAAAGTCTGATCGAAAATCTGCGCACTTAGCTAAATACGACTGAAGAAACTTTGAGGTAGGCTGAAGAGACCATAGAATAGTATAAAGTCAAGTACTATGACATCGACATCAGCATTCTTTAGGAGCATAATGAAAAAAATAAAGAATTATAATAGTACTATTTCACACTCTTGTAGGATGAGAAGTAGAAGAGCTCTACTTTGTAGCAATAGATTTTGGAGATATTTGAATTTTTGAAGGAATATGAGACTTCACTAGAGGTGATAGTGGCATTCAAAGAACAATAGGTAAAGGAAAATAGACAAGTGAGTATGTAAGACGTGGTTGACAGAAGAAGAGTGTAGATGATTGAATGGGCAATGGGACTAAACTAGCCTAATTAATTTGGTATTCAGGATGGCATTAAGGATGATACTGGAGATGAAGAAGAGGGATCTAATAGCGAATCTGATGAGGATGATTTAACATATGAAGAAAAGATTGGAAGAAGGAGAGATTATGAGAGAAAAATAAGAAAATTAAACTAGAAGACTAAGCTTGATTAGTTATCTCGCAAGTTTTGATATTAATCCATGCTATTAATTGGATCAAATTTAGTTATTTGTTTTGAATTATTTTAGCTTTTGTTTAAACTTTGTATTTGCCATTAATTTTCATTGTGGGGTTTTGGGGTTTTGGGG